CAGTGGCACATACGGCTGCTGTCCTTTACCAATGTGAGTAAACTGTTCTAAAGGAGAAGCCAAACCTGCAAGACAGAGTCTGGTCAGAGTTGGCCTGTTAGAAAATTTAGGGCTGTTTCAATATAAATCAGCAGGATGGATGATGAAACATGGTGTTGCTCACAGACCGACAAGTGAACTGCAACAAATACTCCTGAAGTTGACACGGTGGATGTTTGTCAGACCAGAGAAAGTACCACACATGTCTCCCAGTCATTCCCTTCTTCTTTGGATTAGGCAGCTAGATGCTACAATGGTGCATTGCTGCCATACTGTTTGTTAATAATGTTCCTTTTGACCGTCATATATTTTATATAGCCCAAATGTTTCTAACTGCTGCTGAACAGCTTCCTTTTTTTTGAAGTGAGAAATTGTGCTGTAATATGTAATCAACTCTGCTTCTGTTAAAATGGATTTTTATACAATTGGTATAGAAAAAGCATTGTTTAGGAACTGGTATCCAAGTCGAGGTGTCATTTTGAACGATGCCCTGGCCATGTTATCACTGTAGCACAAATCACAAAGCTGAGAGAAGAAGAGTTTCACATGGAAAATGCTGCTTCATTAAATCCAGAATTATAATCAAATGCTTAACATTTTATGACACACTTTTAATTTGAAGGATAAAAAATAAATATTTTCAAATGTAAAAGTCGGGGAGAAGGTGGCCATTCAGAGGACAAAACTGCAGAAGAATCGCATCATCTGTTGATCATTTGGGTAAATGTATTTGCAATCAATAAGAGGCTGAAAGATCTGCTCATCTGGGAAGAGGAAAAGTTAATTTAAAGAGGTGGTATTCTGCTTTTTGCCTTTTTTAGTGCGTGTAATAGGGCTTTTTCATTTTGCAAACCTCAGTCCAACCCAAAGGGAGTTCCCAACTCCCACAGCCAACTCTGCTCTGAACTACCTGAGAACAGCTTGTTTGTAGTCCAGCCGTCTCTAAATGCTAAATGTGCCTCATATAATGCTCCCCAAGCGGCTACTCCGACACCCTCAAAAACATCGGTGTAATAACAGTGAGCTGCAGCACACAGCTCTCCTCTCCCTTCCAAACACTAGCTACCCTCCAGGCAGTCAGTGGACATAAAGTTGTTCCTGTGATGTAGAGACAGAGCTCAGTTAAAACTTTATGGATGAAAGATACTTTGTTACAGATTAATAACTCACCACTCTACATGTTGCCAAGCTGGTCGGCAACATGTACAGCTGAACCGAAGCCATGTTTACTGGCTTCTCACTGACCCGCCCTTCTCTGCTTCTGATTGGCTAGTAGTCCTTAACTAGGAACTGAGCATGTGCAACTCCCAACAAAATCTTGTAGAGACAAGATGTCTCACTCCACAGCTAAAACGAAGCCTTCAACACAGGGTGAAAAGAGGAGCTGCAGCAATGTGCAGTAGGACAAAAAAATATGGGTTTTTGAAAATTAAACCATGTAAACCTGCTCTGGTACCCATAAATAAGACTTTGAAACTGAAAATGAGCATAATACCATCTCTTTACATAGTTGAAATTAAATATAACATAAGTTTTATAGATCACAAAAGAAAATTTAACCTAAACCAAATAAAAAAAAATAAAAAAAACCCTACAGGTTCTACATTTTAACAAGTAAGGCGATTAGATTATGAGTTTCACGATTGGCTCTATGCTTACTTAAATGAAGTAGCTTTGTATGGTTTGAAGAACGGCACTGACACGAAATAATAAAATGCCCAAGTGAGAGTTCAGAGGAATCAATTTGGATCTGAGAGGCTTGAATTCACCCTTATTGCTGAATGTATTGACACTGATTAAGACCCTTTCCTCTTTTCTTCCAGGCCGTCTGTTGTTCAGATCAGAACCACTGTTGTCCTGCAGACACCGAGTGCGACCTGTCCCACAGAGCCTGCGTGTCCACCCTGGGAGAGGCCGCCATGGCCGCTAGGATCCCGGGCTGTTACAGGGCTGGTGGCGGTACAGAGAAAAGGTCAGAGCGGGACAGTCTTAACAGCAGGGGAAATCAGTCTTAAAGCAAAGAACTGTGGAGTCCTGTTTTTAAATTGTTTGTTTAAATGCGCCCTGATCGTAATGTTCCGATTTTATCTTTTAGTTGGTGCTGTTCCCTGCAATGACTCCGTGGCCTGTGCTGATGGAAACACCTGCTGTAAATCGTTGGGGGGGAAATGGGCCTGTTGTCCACTACCTGAGGTACAGACATGCTGATTTATACAATAATAATAATGATCACACAGACAGACTCGTGATTCATCTGCTGTCTGTAGAGTTTCCTGCTCAGACAGACATTACATATAGTCTTAATATTATTTAGTTGCTAATTAACACACATGTGATGCAGACCGGTCAAGATTGTGTATCTACTGCAGCTTGTTTGTTTCTCGTCCGTGCAGGCCGTGTGTTGTGAGGACCGCCTGCACTGCTGTCCACACGGCACCACTTGTAACCTGGCAGCCTCCACGTGTGATGATGCCACAGGCGGTACCCTGATGCCCTGGCTCAGCAAAGTGCCCGTCTTTCCCTTAACGAGCGATAACAGCAAGTGCGACAAATCTACGTCGTGTCCTGGAAAATCCACCTGCTGCAAGACGGCGAGTGGAGACTGGGCCTGCTGTCCTCTACCTCAGGTAATATGGCGCTGGAGTGGTGACACTGTTGATGACAATCTGCACCGCCAGCTTTTTTAATACATATCATCACTCAAACATACTAATGTAACTTTTGACTGTCACAGTCGGGTGTTTTATGTTATTAAGAGTACCCTAATTAATATTAAAAATAAAAATATTAGATACCTCTCAGTATAATGCAGTACTATTCAACAGTACCACAAACTTCATCCTCCATAATCATCCTATGTGAACCCTAAAGCTGGCCACACACTAGAGGATAATTGGGCCGATTTTGGGTCAGATTAGTTAATTCTGCCGTTATGTCTGTGGCATCCCACATTTATTTTAGATAAGATTATAAAATTTTCCTTTGTTTCTTTTTTCTAATCTTTATTTTTAACACTTATTTGCTTATTTGTTATTATTATTGCAAATCAGCCTTTCAGCAAATATGCCATCCTCATATTTCATTGCATTCAACATGTGCAATGTGACAATGGATCAGAGCTTTTAGTGCCTCAACTTGCATGTAAAACAATACTTATCATTTACGCTGGGGACATGTCCCCACCACTTTTTTGAAACGGCAGATTTTTTTCCCCACCACTTCTTTTTTTTTTTTTTTTTTTTTAAAGCAAAATTTGTTAAACAAACGTTCTGGAAAAATAGCTTGCAGTTAAATAACAAATGCCTTTAAAAACTTTAACAACTTCCTGACACAGTTTGTTTTTGGCCAAGTTTCCGTTCTCTCCATGTGAACATGACAAAAGAGGAGGGGAGACTAAATCATGCCTACACATGTGTTGCCTCAGCAGGGATGATATTGCATGAGAAAAGTTGATCTACAACAGAAACCTATCTGAAAGCAACACAGAATGACTGACAGCTGCACTAATTTATTTAGTATTATTTAGAGATATATCTTTTGAAATGTCAAAATATATAAATATAATGTGTATAGTGTTTCCACCATAAATTGGTTTAGAAACTTTCACCAGAATGCAGGAAATGAAGTGTTTTTAAAGATCAAAATTTCCTGGCGGAGGTCCCCCCAGACCCCTCGCTCATATATCTCGTATCGTGATATCTCGCGAGCTAAGTGTCTCTTCACACCCCTAAACTGAGCCCCTTTGTCCCCACCTCTTTTCAACACAGTGACACCCTTGCTTATCACAGGCTTTCAGTTGTCCATATGTATAACGTCACAATTAACTTTTTTGGTTTTGTTAACGTTTCAGTATTTAACAGAGCTTGATTTGTGGCTGCAAAGCATTATGATGCTGGAAAATCACCCCGCCTGTGTTGTGTGTTCCTGCCAGGCTGTGTGCTGTGACGACCACGTCCACTGCTGCCCTCATGGTACGGTCTGCAACCTGGCGGCTGAAAGCTGTGACGACCCGTCGGGTTTTGTGCCCTCCCGCTCCTGGGTGGAGAAGGTGTCCGCTCTGACCTCAGAGAAACGGGACGAGAAATGTGACAAGCAGACGATGTGTCCAGGAGGCACCACCTGCTGTAGGAGCAACTTTGGACAGTGGGCCTGCTGCCCCTTACCTCAGGTCAGTAGAAAGGGCCTGTGAAGGCGATGTGCCTCTGCAGGTCAGATGACGCTGGTGTGCTGATGGCTGAGGGGACGTTTGTTCTTGTGTCAACTGTAATAGTTATGAAGTGAGAGGAGGTTTTACAGGCTTCCAGGATATAAAAGTCCTGTTCATTTTCACATAGTGTTAGATAACTCACAGCTGGTGCACGCTCAAACAGACATGAAACTCTCCTGGCGATGAGAAAATATCTGGTTCTTTGATTTAAAAAGTCGTACAAGATGCCTGTGGACAAACTGAAGGAGAGACTCCCAAGGAGCATTTCGGTAAGAAACATCCAGTCGCGGAGCTTAAAATACTGTCGCACCACTAACGTTGAGCTGAAACCGAACTTTGTAGAAACGTGATAAAACTCTCAGCAGTTTTAAATTAGGCTCCATTCAGATTCAAATGCTTCGTTCACAATTGCAACGAGAAAGCACTCTGAATTTGCTGCAGCTTTGATGCCATTTTTGTACAGACCATAATTATGAGCAGCCAAGTGGGGGGGGGGAAATATAAACGCCAGCCTTTTAGTAATAACTACTTCTCAATGATGACAGGAATTTCTGACAGCATTGAAATCTCCCAGTCGGCATAAAGAACTAGGAAACTCTTTGGCAAAATGGCTGCACCATCGCTTCAAAAATAAAATGCAACTGATTCAGCTAATGGAAGCGGCTTTACACTGTTTGCCTGCTTTCACTTGTTAACAGCTAATTTAGGCTTAATTGATCTTAGAATAATGTATGAATGTATCTACGTCAGACTAATGTGAGGTTTGTTGTTTTTCTTCCTTTCAATTCTGCCGACCTGAAGATGCCAGTGAGAGGCGTGAATGCAGTACGAGTCACGCCTCTGATTTGATTTCCATTAATGATGCTGGCTGATGCTCATTATTACCATTATGATGTTGCCACCAAACTATGTTTCGGCCAAATTATCCAAAGTGTAAATAGGTAAAACTAAAGGGCCTGTGTCCACCAAAGTGTTGGTTTTCCTGAGGCAAACGTCCTTTTTTTTGTTTGTTTGTTTGTTTTTTTCCAAGTGCGCTTCCAAAACGCACCAGAACAGCAGCTGGCGTTTTCAGCTGGTAAAAAATGCTTTGGTAGACATAAATCTTAAGTACCATGAAATCACCCAGGAGAGAGAACTTTTTTGGAAGTTATGTTGCATAAAATCTTCTTACATCTGTTCAACTGAAAATCTGACATTTACAGGGATTTCATGCGGCATTGAAGAGCTATTCAATCTTGTTCTTTCCAGGCGGTGTGCTGTAACGATCATGAGCACTGCTGCCCCAAAGGCTACACTTGTAACGTGGCTGAACAGACTTGTGATAAGCCCGGTGGCCTCAGCCTGCCCTGGCTGCCGAAGACACCGGTCCTGAAGAACGAGCCCGGTCAGGCTGTTTCCAGTCCAACTCCGCCGGCCAAGAACATGTGTGACGCCCAAACTAGCTGCCCCAGGGACACGACCTGCTGCTTCATGAACGTGACCCACAAATGGGGCTGCTGCCCTCTGCCAAAGGTAAGTGATTATTTAAACAGCCTCACTCACCCACAAAACTAATAACATGTTACGAGTTACCTTTGCTGTTCCTCAGGCGGTCTGCTGTAAGGATGGAAACCACTGCTGCCCCAGCGGTCACGTCTGTGAACCTCACCGCTCCTCCTGCTCAAAGGGCCCCCGTGTTATACCCTGGTTCACCAAACTGAGCGCTGTGACCGAGCCGGGCGCCCCGACAGACGTTAAATGTGACGACAAGAGCAGCTGCGCTTCAGGAACGACCTGCTGTAAACTGCAGTCAGGAGAGTGGGGCTGCTGCCCTCTGGTCAAGGTGTCTACATCACATGACTTAGCATTTATGTTAGGATGTTAGTTTGATTTTAAGATCGTATGTTTTAGTAACTGTGACTAAACAGCATTATAATATTGTAGCGCTTGATTGGATCAGATTTCAGCTTTAACTTTCAAACAATTGCAAAACATGCAGTTGTTTGTGCACATACAGTACAAGTGCTCAGCCCGACTTCCTACAAAAATATTATATTGTAAACAACAACTTGGTCTCTTCCAAGATCCAAAAATCTGCCAAAAAAATGGGTATTTTCTAAAACGCAACTAAAATCTTTTATGCTCATCCAGTCAGAAGAAGTCAGCAGAAATGAGGGACATTTTACTAAAAGCTTATTTATTTTATAAATCATCATATATTTACAATAAAATGGACTTGGTACAAAATAAACCTGCCTACGTAACGCCTAGTATCAGCTGCGCGCTGCCACATGTGACAGAGGACAACAAACACCGGCAGCTGCTCCGCCATTCATCATAAACTTTCATAAGATTTAAAACTTCATACAACAAGACCCAAACAAAGAAGTGCTGAACGTAAAATAGGTTAGTAACCTGAGTAACCTGCTTCTTGCTTCAGCTACGACCTACCGGAGGTTAACTCAGACTGTCGTTCGTTATGAAAAGATGAACGAGCGTTTGTTTACTTGCCAAACTTGTGGTGGTCGATTTAACGTAATCATTTACGTCCCGCTGGCTGCCATCACGTTAATTATTGCCATCTGCTGCAAACATGTTACAGGTTTATTGTTGATCATGTAACTTTATAGTTTTATTTAGTTAACTTTACACTGGGTTTGAGAGTCTGCAGGGTGTGTTGACTTACAGTAGTTACTAAGATGTCAATAATTGCATTGCACGTTACATGTTTGTGCTTTGTAAGTGGAAAAACAGGTTACAGTTACAGAATACCTTTTTATAGCCATGCAGTTTTATAAGCAGCCTGGATTGAACGCAGCAGCGGATACAACATTCATTATAACCACGAGAGACTTGAGACTCTAGCTTAAAGACTTGTGAGCATCTCTGGCCAGTGGTAGTGTACACAAATGTAACTGTGCACCCACATGTTTGACTTTTAGCTGAAAATGTGCGTTAAAAACCCAAAATATAATATTATAACAAGCCGCAAAAACCAACGGTTTATCTCGATGCACCAACTCCTAATATTCACATGCATAACAGGAAGTGGATGGAAACGCGCACAACTTGAATTTTCTTTTGGTTATTCAAAGATGTCCCCTAACAGAGTCTATGTATGTTCATGTAAAATGTCCCATTTAAAGACCTTTCTAGTGAGCCGCTGTTCAGACCAAAGCCGGATCTTCTCACATTTATGTAATTTAATATTATACATTTGTGGTTTAGTCCAAATTAACAGCTCTGTCAGAGGGCATAAAAACTGTTTAAATGTAGTGACAGAAGCGACAGCTTTCAACAGTCTGTAGTCTGATACGAGCGTTTTATCCTGTCTCCCCTTCAGGCGGTTTGCTGTGCAGACCATGAGCACTGCTGTCCTCAGGGCTACACCTGCAACATGCAGACTGGAACATGCGAGAAGAAGAACCGCGATGTGCTCGTCCTCGCCCTCCCTCAGAGCAAAGTGGTGCAGTCCGAGCCGAGAGGCACCGAGGGCGACGCGGACGTACCATGTGACAGCACGGGGGAATTTCACTGCCCCAAGCAAGACACGTGCTGTAAGATCTCAGCCGCAGAGTGGGCCTGCTGCCCCTCGCCCAGGGTACGTCCACACTTCACTCCAATCTCTCACACGAGCACTTAATATCTTGTAGGAAAGATTAATTTGGTAAGCTCGTTTATTATAATTATAATGATACACCTTCTTCAAAAGCAACCCTTGTTCTCGCCTTGTTGAACATGCTATGGTCCCATTTAGTGTTTTATTTTTTTGTCCCATTTATTCTTTCATATGTCTAAATATTGCTTCTAGAGCTCTTGGAGGGGAAGCAAGAAAGATAAACTATACATTAGAAAATGGAACTGAGGCAATCAGCAATCAGCCTACAGAGGCGTTACATCTCTGCAACAAGTTGTTACCCAGTTGTCTGAGAATCTATTTCTTTACTTTAACTTCGAGGTTTAGGAAACTGAAGTTCCTCTTTAATATCTTAATCTAAATGATGTTTCTTCTTTTGACAGGCTGTCTGCTGCTCAGACTCAAAGCACTGCTGTCCTGTAGGATACTCATGTGACCTGAAGGCTGGAGGATGCACTGCACAGAACCAGCTGACCTGGGACATTTTGTTCGGGGACAGAAAGAAAGACTTTGTCCCCCATGGACTTTAACTCCACTTCAACCTGGATCCATTACATCCATCTACAGCTCATATTGTCCACAGACAATAAGGCTGTTGCTGCTTCCTGTTTGTTTTTGTCGTTCATGGAAGTTTCTGCACTCCTGAGTATTGGTGGTGGTGGTAGGTGTGGAGGAGCCTTTGTGCAAGACAGGGGAAAAACATGCGCGCTGCCGTCATCTCTGACAATTATAAAGAAGTTACAATGAAATAGGAAGGAATATATCCTGTTATTTCAACATGTGTGACCTTGAAATGTGTGCAGAAGTCTTTTAAACGTGTTGCACCAGGCAGAAAATATTTTATCACCATCACACTCGCTTCTTGATATAGAGGACAGTAATACCACAATGAGAAGTACAGCAAGTGTCTCGTTAAAGGATGGTGTTGGTGATATTATATATTTATCTTATTGTCAACAAATCCCATGAAAAGATCAAAACCAACAATGAGTTCGTCTCTCAAAACGTCCCTACTAACCTTAATTGCTTCCCCACGCGCCATCAGTACGCATACCGGAAGATGACAAGTCACTTAAGTTCAGGTTCTGCCGTTATGTCCCCGTTTATCCTCCCAACACACAAGAAAGCCCTGATATCGAGTCCGAAAATGACAGAGAGGAGATGAGGCGAGCGTAACTGAAAGCAAAAAGTTTTTTTGTTTCCTTCTCAATCCTGAAAGGTGGTGATGCCCTGTTACCCCTCGTACTCATGACCTTAGAAAACAGTATGTTGTTGTTGTTGGGGATGTGTTGGGGACTTGGGGACACAGGCTATGCCAAGTTCAAGGTAAATAAAGTTATCAGGCCTGAATGATTTTGAAGAAATGACTAATTGACTAATTATTTTGACTGATATTGCGATACTAAGGGGAACGATCATTTTTACATAATTATTCTCATTTACATTGAAAATATTAGTCTCTAGAATATGATGTGCGGGCTTGGACATCTCTGCAGCACGACAATATTTAATTAAAAACGGTATCGTGACACACGAATCACCTCTTTAACAAATATTGCTCCTCGTGCGTTTGAAAATAGCAGCAGGCTATATTGCGATTGATTGTTCAGCCCTAAAAATGATACATTTATTATTTAGTTTTTCTGACTAATCGCATGGATTCCTCGCGCCGGGCTACCTGTCCGCAGCCCAGGACTTGGGAACCTAAGCTGCAGGACGCTGCAAGTGGGATAAAATAAATTGCATGGTAACAAAGGAACATGTTGGACAAGAATGGCGCTCTGAGGCACGGAGGATGAAAAGATATTAAGCTTTGATGCACAGATTAAACCAGTTAGTAGATGCACTCGTTGTTGGTTTGGCTCTTTTTTTTTTAAAGTTGATTTGTTCACAATAGGAAAAATATAGATTTTCAGCATCCGGCTTTATTGTTTTTGTATTTTCTGATCATTATTATTGGAAGTGAGTGATTTCCTAGTGTCGTTAATAAAAAAGAATAAAAAAGGAAACATAAATGTACTCGCTGTGGGCAACACTTGATTAACTCCTCATACATGACTGAAGTTGTTTCAAAGAATAGTAGCAGCATTGCTGGTCTTTAATGTAGTCGTTGATTTTTTTTTTTCGCCTATGATTTAATAAGAGACCCAGAAGAGGTGAAACGGATAAACGGTGAAGATGCATTTCAAGTAAAGCAGCGATAGATAGTTTCTTCAAATTTGAATTTTTTGGGGGGGGGGTTTGCCGTACACTTAAAGCGACATAAGCGATGACAGACTGTACAAGGAGCTTGTGCCTTTTATAATTTCACTTTAAAGAGGTACTTGTCGGTCAGGAAAATTCATTCCAACACTGGAAAATAACAAACATGTATCTTTTGGACAGTTCAGTGTAGATTTCTCTTAACAAGCCAAGAACATCTCTCGTTCCATCAGCAGAGAACAAAAAGCACGGAGTCGATAAAGTTGTCAGAGCTACGCAGATGGAAGTTTTTGTGTTTGAACAGCAGTAACAGTCATTTTCAGTGCAGCAGGTCTCATACATGTTGCCATTGGGTCTCTAGCTTTTGGAGTTTCCGAACACTGGGCTCTGTAAGATTGTAGAAATACTGCTCTTGAATCCTGTAGTTTTTGTTTTGAAGGACTTTACACCTCATGAGGAAGTTGTAATTTTATTAAATCCACTTTTTATGAATAAAGTTTGGACACACCTTCAAATAAATAACGTAAACATGCTCTCACCATCGTGTTGTCAGCTCTTCTCCTTTATTTAAAATGTATATTATTTATTTATTGTTTCTTTTCCAAGCCTTTCAATGAGGAGTGTGAAATGAAGTTCCTCAAAATATCACTTTGGTTCAGTGTGATAATTAAATTCAGTGAGGTCATCCTTGAAGTTTAACGGTTGGCAGGATGTGCACACTCACACAACAAGCCCACACACTTCCTCTGGCCTTTTCCCCCTCCATATCCTCTTACCCCGACCCGCCTCCCTCTTCCCAGTCATCAGAAAGTTGTTATGACTACGCGTGTAAACAAAAGACAGATGAGTGGAGACTGTGGGGGTAGTGTCCCACTTTACTGCCAGTGCTGACAGTAAAGTGGTGCTTTATTATATCGTCTGCCCTCTGGTGGTCAGAAACCGAGTTGATGGCTCTTCTGCTTGAGTTGAAAACAAAGCAACACATGCTGTTTCAGCTCTAAATGAGGTCAGATACTCCTGCGGGGCCCCATTGTTGAAGACCGTACCGGACAGTTGCATATGTCAAAGCCCTACTGCTGTTTTGACTTGAAATTAATTTTGAGAGTTAAATTCAAAATAATTTAAAACAATTTGAGGCAAGAAAATGCGTAAACAAGAAGTTCTGCAGCGCTCATTTTAAAATGTGTCTACAAAATGTTGAATTTTGGGAAATACTGTCTTGAATTGATTTGGTTCAAAGTTATTAAAAATAATGTTTTGTTTAAAAAGGCAGGCCTGTCTGTCAAATCTACAACCAGTTAGCTTAGCACAAAGACTGGAAACGGGGGGAAACAGCTAACATTAGCCTTCATCTCATCTGTCCAAAGCACATTTTGGAGAATACGCTTATTATGTTTCTAGAAGGGCGTTGGATGAAAATATTGATGCCATTAATGTTTGTTAACTATAAGGCTACAGCTTGCAGACGCTTAGCTAAGCACAGAGAATGGAAACAAATAAAATCTGCTACCAGCACCTCCAAACCTCACTAATGTGTTGTATCTTGGTTTAATCTGTACACAAACAGAAATTTAAAGACGATTAAAGGCAATTTGTGGTTTTACCTTATATTTAAAGACAAACACGAAAGTGAAATCAATCTTTCATCTACCTTCCTGCAAGAAAGCTAACAAGCATATTCCCCAAAATGTCCTTTGGACATGCAGGCTAGCTGTTTCCCCCTGTTTCCAGTCTTTGTGCTAAGCTAAGCTAACTGGCTGCTGGCTGTAGCTTCATATTATTTAAGAAACATATAAGAGTGATATCGGTCTTCTCGTCTACCTTCCTGCAAGAAAGCTAACCAGCGTAATTTCTGAAATGACAGATGCAGGCTAGCTGTTTCCCCCTGTTTCCAGTCTTTGTGCTAAGCTAAGCTAACTGGCTGCTGGCTGTAGCTTCATATTATTTAAGAAACATATACGAGTGATATCGGTCTTCTTGTCTACCTTCCTGCAAGAAAGCTAACCAGCGTAATTTCCAAAATGACAGATGCAGGCTAGCTGTTTCCCCCTGTTTCCAGTCTTTGTGCTAAGCTAAGCTAACTGGCTGCTGGCTGTAGCCTCATATTATTTAAGAAACATATACGAGTGATATCGGTCTTCCCGTCTACCTTCCTGCAAGAAAGCTAACCAGCGTAATTTCCAAAATGACAGATGCAGGCTGTTTCCCCCTGTTTCCAGTCTTTGTGCTAAGCTAAGCTAACTGGCTGCTGGCTTATATTATTTAAGAAACATATAAGAGTGATATTGGTCTTCTCGTCTACCTTCCTGCAAGAAAGCTAACCAGCGTAATTTCCAAAATGACAGATGCAGGCTAGCTGTTTCCCCCTGTTTCCAGTCTTTGTGCTAAGCTAAGCTAACTGGCTGTAGTCTCATATTATTTAAGAAACATATAAGAGTGATTAATCCTCATCTAACTTTTGGCATGTATTTCCCAAAAGTCAAAACAGTGAGTGAACAGAAGAGACACTGTTTGATTTGAGTGTTGATTTACTTAATAAATGCTGAAGAGGGTTTTTCTAATGAATCTAACAACAGTAAAGTTTCTGTAAGTAAATAAGACGAAGCTCTAAAACCTCGGTGAGGCTTTGCAGTTCTATGTATAGCAGATTTGACCCACCAACAGCAGAGAGGACCAAAGTGACAAAAAGCCATTGACGTGTGAGCAAACTTTCGCCTCCTCCTTTCTATTGGTCAGCCACTGTTCCCATTCAGATGTTGCCAGGGAGAGAGAGACCCTCCACACTAAATCACACCCACCCAAGGCACTTTTACACTCCCTCCTCTGGTATTTTGCTAATTCCCACAGGAATGTATAAATTCTAGTCATCTCTATTTGGGACAGCAAATGCGTTGGTGGAGAGAAGGCTAAATTGATAACAGCAGATGTTATTGTTTTTTCTGTGTGCACTTCACTTTAAAATAGACCCATAATCAAATTAAATATAGAAACAAAACTTCATTTATAATATTCACTGTTGAAATGGTTAAAAAAACAAATCTGACTGATATTATAGCAGAGACAATGTATACCCACTCAGGTGAAACAGGAATAAACTTACTAACTTTAAATCTACTTATAACTCTTTAATTGTAAGTAGTGCATACTAAATGTGTTAATTTGGAACAACTATAAGTAAGTGTTTTTAGAAATTCCTAAACGCAGTTTAAAGATAATCACAATATACTTATAATGAATTTAATCAAAATGAAGTACAGTTATTGTAATTGTAATGTATTACATTTGAAAGATCCTGATTTCTATCATATCAATAAAAAAATATTTTGCTTTGTCATTCTTCATAATTAATCCTTTATTATATAAAGTACACTGAATTATATTCAACTTCAATATATTATATATATTATATATAATTGCATGTGCAGTCTTGTGTGATAAGATATAAGATTTATTGATCCCATACTGGGGGTAATTCACTTGTTACAACAGCTCCAGATACAACACAGCAAAAACAGATAAGAAAATACACATTACATGAAAAATATTATATAGAAAAATAAGAGTGATACTTAGGAGTTATATATTAACTAAATAAAGATGCGATTGACATGAACATTGCACATGTCGCAGCAGGAGGTAGTGGCATGTTGTAGAAAATAAATAAATATAATTGCACAGGTTAAAAAATCTATTCAGCAGTATAGTTTAGAGTACCGTTGTTGATGTATCACTATCATTGTACTTGTGAATTAATATATATACATATATATATACAACTTAACATTTATTAAGTGCACATAACTATGATATTTTGACACAATTACATTGTAACTATCATTATTAAGTATATTTACATACACTTTTTCAAGTAATGGGAGATCTTTTATTGTTTTTGTAAGTATATTTATATGCAGTAAATTTACTGCAGTAAAAACACTAGTACAAGTTTACATAGCCCAGAAGAGCAGAAGTAATTCATTAAATTACATACAGTACATTTATTATTATGTTTTTTTTACATAGTTTAGTAATCCCGAAAAATGGGATTTGAGTTTATTAAAATTTTGTATAAATTATAGCTAGTTTTTTAATAATTGAAAAGGTATTGTTGGTATAATTAAAATATGTTAATAATGCATGTGTAAATGTGATGTGTTCAATTTAAAGTACATTTCTAGGATATTTAAAGGAAGACACATAATTATAACTTCAAGATGTCTCAGTTCAGCACGGTGAAAGTGCTGTTTTTTGGCCTCAAAGTTGCTGTAAGTGAAACGTTAAGGTTCAAGGTTTAGCTTTACTGTCATTATACAACTCAGGATTGCACAATAAAATGCCGCTGTAGCCTCCAATGTGTCATCAGCACATTGTGAGAATAGAAAACAATGCATGCTTTTAAGTACAATCAAAATGTATTATTGGTATAATTATAACATGTCAACAGCCGAAAAGATATCCAATAAAAGAAGCAAGTACCGCAAAATGTATTTAGTTTAGTGTTGGAATGTAATTAACTACATTTGTTCAAGTACTGCATCTACAGTAAGTTAAATAATGACATACTTGTACTTTACTTGAGTATTTAGATTTGATTCTACTTTAGACTTGACTACATTTTGTAGGGAAATATGTACTTTTTACTCTGTACTACATTAGACACTTATAGTCGCTTGTTACCTTTTACATAAAACACATTGTTGTTTATATCGTTACAATTTTTTTTGTGTATTCGTTAATGATTAGAAACAGAATTTATAATATTCTATAATAATATGACTCTGTGAAAGGATCCATTCTGTATTTTTACTTTTGAATACATTTTGTTAATACTACTACAACTTTCAGAGACTTACTTTGTATTTGAGTATTAATGGCAAAATGGAATGCAAGTACATTTAATCAAGTACTTTAAT